GAGAGTGTGGCAGGGTATTTTTTGACATACATACTGAGAGAAAGTACTTGCATTTCATCGAAAAGCACCCTTAAAACCGAACAAAGCGCATATCGCCACGGACATAAAACATCCAGGTACAGTGTATGTATTAAACAGAAGTGTGCTGTAGCATGTTTTCGATGGATATCAATGCACTTGTGAATTCAGGGAAGTGCACAGCGGGGACTTGGTTTTCCGGTCCAAAAGCTCCTTCACCAGTTCTACCAGTATATTGAGCGAAATGAGACAAAACTAGAAAAGCACTCCGAGAGCGCAGACCTCCGCCAAGGCAGCGATTTTTGATTAATATTGATTATTGTTTGATTATTGATCCGGATCACCACCAAAAACTAATCATCTCTTCCTTGGCCCTCTTCTCACAGTTCCTGAAAATTTCATCAAAATCGGTCCATAACTTTTTGAGTTATGTTGATGACAGACAAACAGACAAACAAACAGGGGTGAAAACATAACCTCCTTGGTGGAGGTAATTAAACAATATTTCCTTATGCATTACACATCATATAGTAAAATTATCCTTGTCTACTGCTTTTTATTTGCCTAGTAAAGAGAGGCGAAGCTGTTTATCTTTATGCTATGACACCCTTTCCGAAATCCTGGATCCGACCATGAATTACGATTGTAAATCGTGGTTTTACCTTAATGAGACAGGTAAATATAAGGCTGACAGGTAAATATAAGGGGAGGTGAGCTGACGGTACATCTACCAAATCAGCCTTGCTTTGCTCCTAATTCCTAATATCTGCACGGATATTTGTTTCAAGGAAGCAGGCCCATTCCCAGCCACCATCCCACTTAGACCTGAATAGAGGGGCAGGGAAATGTGAGGAAAAGACTACAAAAACGCAACTTGTTAAAACGAAATTAATTCATTTGAAAAGGAAATCTAAAAAATACATAGAAACAATTTAATTTTGTTTACCTGGGGCACTTAAATGATCTCGTATAATGTAATGCTCTCTTGTGAAAAATAAATGAATAAGAAATTAGATTAAATAGAAATGAAATTAAAGTATGTTGTTTAACCAATTTTTGATTCAATCGTATGACCAGCGCTCAGAGGAAGAAATGAGTTATCACTGTAGGAGCGATCTGCCAGTTCCAGTCTTCGATTAAACGTTATATTAAATCTGTGCGACGATGTATCGAAATGTAAGAAACAGAGATCATTCTATGGGGTGATCGACCTGTCGGCCAAGGACTATTATCCAGTGGGCAATAAAAGGCAATAAAAGATGCTCCTAATATATAATCTGGTTTATAATGACGTCAGATATCTTCGTTTAATCCATAGTCGGTCTGAGAAACTCTGACAGTGGAACAAGCGCCACTCAATGTGTCAGTTTTTCTCAGGAAACATCTGCCTTACAAATCTCGTGTGGTTCAAAACGTCAGTGGTGTTATGACATGTTATAAAAAACCTAAAGGTGGTTTTACGTACACGTGTACATATTGTACTACACTGAACGAGAACAAGACTAATTTTTCAGCGCCAACATGCTGGGGTATAAACCCCAATCTGTGAAGATAATGAAGAGTTTTTATGCCCTTCCATTTTCACATGACTCAGCGCCAACATGGCAGTGGTAATTTTGACAGGATCCCCACCACAAACGGTGCGGACGCACGCTCACGCGCAGGTGTGCTTACACACACACATAAAAAGGAAAAAAAACACCCCCCCCCCCACACACACACCGCCATCACTGGGATATTCTAGGACGAGTGCCAGCAATTAAAACAAATAAAAAACAGTTTAATCTGCATAATTGTTCTTGCAAACCCAGACATCCAAAAAAGAAAAAAAAAGCTGTGTGTGTGTGTGTGAGTGTGTGTGTGGGTGTGTGTTTGTGTTTGGGTGCGTGCATGTGTGTGTGTGTGTGTGTGTGTGTGTGTGTAGGTGGAGGGGTGTACAAATCCTGACATATCCATAACTACCTGTACAGTGATAAAATAGCAGTGGCCTCAATGCATTCTTTTCACAGGGTTTTACAGTGTAAATATCTATCTACATGTGTGTGCATAGGACATTGCATTTTCGATTTTGTTAAGCACATCTACTAGTAGCCTATTTTTAGTTTGAACTGTTATCTTCTCTCAAGGGTCACTAAATACCAAGAAAATATAATTACATGAAGCTATTTTCACGATATCTAAGCCAAAAGCTGTGCGAAATTTTCATTTACGGAAGGAAAGAGAACAAAATTTTAATTCTAAGAAATACAGCATATATTTAGATTCTACGTGACGCACCATCATCCAATTTATAAGTAACAAAGTTTTACGTAATGAAAAAGCAGAATTTTTTATTTGGTCCATCCATGAATTATACCTGTACTGACGTGACGCCCACTTGACACGTGGGACTTTCTCAACAAGGGGGGGGGGCGCTAACAGTTACTGTAAAATTATATTGCCCAGTCCATCTTTATATTGAGGTTAATGAGCACAAAGACAGGGCAAACTAAACAAAACCAACTCCATGGTAAAGGTAAAATATAAATGCACTTCAAAACACATGAGGTGAATTTTTGTATCACAATACACAATCACTGTAATAACTAACCGTGATGGGGCTGTACAATCTACACAATGCATAAAATGTTATCGAGATTTGCAGAAACACAAAGAGTCTCGTAATGGCCATAGGTAGAAATTTGGTGGAAACTACCGAAATTAAGAAAGTAGATTACTGTATAAAGAGGAATGTAAACACAACTAAACAGACGACTAGAAATAAGCAAATATGAGGAAAGGCGATTAGTGTTTTAATACTTGAATGTTATCTACTTTTGGTGAAGTTGGGAAGAATTTAAGAAAAAAACAGAAATCGTGATTCAAATAAATTTCAAGGCGTAATTTCGCTCCATTAGTTCGTTCACCATGTTTTTGATAAAATACCTAGGCATCTGGACGGCTTCACGCCTGCTTCTGATATAAATAAATAAATAAATAAATAAATAAATAAAGAAAGAAAGAAAGAAAGAAAGAAAGAAAATAAGAAAGAAAAATTGGACTGAAATTTGAATGAATAGATTCAAGAAAGAAACACACGATCTATTCTGTTTGAAGAGTGAACATTATCTGCATAAAGCCACAGTTGCACTTGATAACATCAATTAATGACATGCATGCACATAGACAGCCAGTAATATAGACACATTGTAAACGTACTAGTAAAGGGGACACGGTGTATTTGCCAGCGGGTAATTTTTATTGCGTAAACTGCATAATGATGATGGCAGACCGAGTTTAATAGCAAAAATATGCAGAAATAAATCTAAAATTATACCAAACAATTCTTCAATAATGGTACATAAAAAGACGTGTAAAGCTGTGTGTAGAAGACAATTTTGTATGGATACCCCCTTATGACAGAATAGGGGCTGGGGCCACAGTGTCTACTTGATCATATGCTATTTTGCCAGGTGTTGTACTGTAAGTATATACATTTATATTCTAAAACTACAAATTATAAATACCGGTAGAGGTGACTCTAAATTTCTCTTTTTTTTTTTTTTTTTTTTTTTTTTTTTTTTTTTTTGGGGGGGGGGGGAGTGTTCAATATTGAGTAAGGGTATTTTCATACCGCATGTACGCACCAGAGTATATACACATACACACACTGGACAATAGAAGTGTCACCCCCACTGAACCAATACTTTGGGGGAGATAAATGACTGTGGAATGATATGCTCCTGGTATCATTTTATTAACATCAAATTTCACAAAAAGACCAACAATACAATTCCATGGTACAGCGGTTTTATACTCATTAGTCACATTATAAGTAGAGCAGGCTTTATAACTACTCAAGATCTACCTACTTTGATTACTCTGATTCAGGGGGTGACACTTCTATTATCCATTGTGTGTATATTTAATTTTTTCTAACCTGAAATGGGTTTATATTAGCCTGTGACACCAGAGATCATTGCAAGTCATAAATAATTTATTACTTTTGTATTTAGTTCAGATTTCAAATTAGAGTTACTGAAGATTCATGAGAAGGCATATACATGTAATAGACAAAATTGCAGCACAAGTATATTGGAAATGAAATACAATGTCAGCCATGAGATATGATTGCAACCAATGGTCATATAAGCACCCATTTGAATATGATAAATTCAACTGAGGTCTAATTTCTGCTCCAACGGCAATGAACACTCGCCTTAGATAATGGTATTCAGGAGAAAAATGTCATTTCCTACATAAAGATTTCCCTTCCTTTCCGTCTTTATTTTTGAAGATGGCTATCTCTTCCCCCTCGTCCACACAGGCTTATTGTGCGTCAATAAGCTGAATAAAATATTCACCCCTATATGTGACTGCCAATGAATTCTCCCTCTCATCGTAGGCATGCAGAATCTCATAATTAAACATTTAAAGGCTTTATGACATATGCAGACTTATGGGCAATGATGAATCAAAAGGGGTTTGGTACAGCAGACATTCCCTCTTTAACTTCAGAAGGGCACAGTTGTTGCCCCCCCCCCCCAAAAAAAAAAAGTATTACAAGTCAATGAGACTAAAACATGTAATTTGTTCACTCCCCTGTCTTGCATATATCAGTAAAATACCAGTTCCCGTCAGCTTCCGTTTTATATTTGACTTGCAAAACGAGGAAATTTTTTATGTTATGCTCCAAGCTAAATCCAGGATATTCCAGTGAGAAAAACACTCATTCATATATGAAGTAATTCTCCAGGCTCTATAAACTATAAAATCCACTAAATTTAACCCACTACATCTATTATTATTTTTTCTATACACCGGTACCTTGGAATTATCATTCAGAAATTTCAATCTACAACTTTTTTAAAACTAAAATATTGCAAGCTCAATATGCCCTTGGGGCGCACATGTGCCTGCCCGAGCTTAAATTGCTGACTGTTACCGTGAGTTTCTTTCGCCTTTTTCCTTCTGTTTAGACATTCTTTGGGATTATCTTTCAGCATTTTCAATCAGTGAAAGGATGTTTGATAAGGACAGCATTTGTGTTACAACTTTGCTCAATGCGTTCCATCGAATGGGCCATGCAACCAGAGCTTCAACAAGCAGATGGATGGTACTGTACTCACAGCTCTCTTGATGGGAAAACCGGTTGGCTTTACAGGATTGTGCGAGTTCAGGAGATGAGAGGTAAGATAAAAATTGAGAGCTCCCGCATCGTGGCGGGTGCGCAAACTGGTCCACGATTTTTGAGGCCTTTGCTTTTGGGCGCTAGCACAGCCAGTACCTATCAGAAGCGTCAATATAGGAATGCTAGCGCATGAGTTTCGTGCTATTGTGTTAGGTGAGAAACATCCAAGGGTTTATTATTAATCATCGTGTGTATTCGCAGATGTGAAAGAAAAAATACGTTAAATTTGTATTTATTTCATCGTTTAAAAATCCTAGATCATGTCTGAATAAAGTAAATTTCATAAAGCTCTGACCGACTGTGAAGAAGAAATGCTCCCACTTGTCAAATACACAGCAGTAGATATTCATAACCAAAGGTAGATTGGGGGGGATGCCTTTCCCTTAGTTGATCATCAGTTCTTAATTCTCACTCCGAAATATTAGTAAAATTAGCAAAATGATAATATAATAAATAAATAGCATGAATAGATTTTTTTTTAAAAATCATAAAATAATAAATAGAAAAAAAAAAAAAAAAAAAAAAAAAAAAGCAAAAGNTCAGTGGAGCTCTGCACTCTCTGAGCGCTTTCCTAATTCACGATAATAAACTGCTAAGAAGGAAACAACTACTGGTAGCTCTTTTTGATAAGCATTAATCATTTCTGCTTTTTATTTCTTTTTATACTTGTTAGCTGTGTAATTAATACATTTTATCCAGTCCTTGCAGTATTAAAAAAATCAACAAATATGTAGTAAAATAATCATAACAATTCTAATCAAAGTTGACATGTGGTAATATTTATATATATATATCTGTGTGTATACATAAATACATTTTTTTTATATGAACCCCACCATTTAAAACTTGCGAATATCACATTTTGTTTAAAATATGCAATTTTTTTTATATACATACTATAACATTTCAATATATCTTGACTTTATCTAGTTTCACATAAGTAGTTTGAAGGTTAAACTGATGCTCTAAGTAAATTATTTAAACTCTTACACATTAATCTTCAAGAAATTGCTACTGTGGTATATTTTCATATAATTTGAACTCTGCTGTCATGCAACTTTTGGTCATGTAACTGCTCAATTTGATCAAGAGTGGAATATACTAATACTGGTTTTATCACAGTGTACATGTACATTGTAAACCATTCAGCATTCCAGTAAACAACATCAAATATCTATCACTCTATAATATATGGATAAAAGTTATCAAAATGGCACTTGATCTCTTGGCAATGTAGAAGAAAAAAAATCATAAATATGTTATTAAAATATAACAAATAGATATTAAAACTTTCTGCAACAAACAGCTTACAGATTTCACAAACCTGTTGGTAAAAAAAGGTCCTTGGGAAAATTATTTCACGAACATGTTACTTTTCTTATTTTAGAAAGTAAACCTGTGTTGGTTATAAAAAAACAACAACACTTGGGTACAGGCTCCAGAAAAAAATGAAGCCTTAACTATAATGTGTACTATTATATAGTACATGTACTATATACTGTGGCTATATCTTAATGATTCCAGTGTTCAGATATGTACTACAACTCAAGATACACATTTCATAATGTAAAGACCTTCTAACATTCTTAAGAGATTTGAATGTGTCCTTATGAGGATATACAATTGTTCCTACAACCAATTAAGATTACTCTTATTATTACAATGAAGATTTTCATGGATTATATTAAGACCATACAAACTGTATGTGTTTAAGACCAATTTATGTTATTTTTTTAAGGAAAAAAACATAAGATAAAAAATACACTAACATTCAAATATATCTGGAATGTTTAAAGTTTCAGATACTTACTTAAATTAATAAATTAATTTAACAGTGATACTGGTGCCTTAATTAAATTGTTTCAATTTTGACTTATTTAATTGTACCTATATCTACGAGAAACCTTCCAAATCCTTTAAATACTGTAAGCTCCTGTATGTGGTTTCTGATTAAACTGTACCTATTCTGATTAAACTGTCCCCAAATGCTACCATTTCACTTCTGAATTTCTTTATAATAAAAATAAAAACACGTACGTACTGTCTTCTCAAATTTCTATCTCATCATAGCGTGGTGTTCCTTCCTTGTAAGATTTTGCAAACTCAAGGAGGGCCCACCCTGGAATTGCTGTGGCTTTTACAGCTGGCACCTCCCACATTCTCGCTATCCATGCATTGAGCTTTGGGAATCTTTCCTGGCTGATTTCGTAGCCAGTGAATTCCTTGTAGGCGAGCATCCTTTCCACCCAGGGCCACATGTGGAAGTCAAGCAGACCTACTTCATCTCCTGATAAATAAATAAATAAAAGGAAAAGCAGCTAATTTAAAGTGAAGCAATGTACTTTTAATATGGTTGGACATACCGGGTACTAGTAGTACAACTTTACATGACATGCCCCCTTATTGGGTTTCTCCAAATTAATTAAATTAATTTATCAACTTAAATTCATCAATGAATTAACAAATGTGCCTGTGTGACAGTGTATGTACAAAATGCTTTCCTGTAAATTTCAGATTGTTAAAAAACTTAATTCATTTTGAACACACTAACATGCAATACCAGAATGTGGTATGTTTTCCACCTTGTTTTTTATTTGGTTTATTACTCATTCATTTTACTTGTGATAGGAAGAATGCTAGATTCAATAAACACTGGGGTGGTATTCTCAAAGCTATGGAATATGAACTTTCAATGAATTCCTGTGGAATTAAAAAAAATCGGTATTCTTTAAGCTATCAAATAATTTTCTATTAAAGTTGGGAATGATTTTTTTTGCAATCACATGATACGGCCAACCCAATACCTGAGAAGAATGGCTTCTCCAGTAGATTTTCATATGTATCCAGGTATGTATTCATTTCTTCTTTCGCCTCTGGTGTTGGCTCTCTGGCTAGCTTGTAAGAATGGCCTATGAACTGTAGAAGTTTAATGCAAACCATGAGTGTTAGATACATGTATTTACATGGCAAATGTTTAATTTTCCTAGAGATTTCAAAGGTATGCAATACCCAAAATCATTTTGAAAATTGTGAGAAATGTAAAAAACATTTTGTAGCCCCTTATTAACTCATTCATACAAGATTCTGACTACTTCAGAAATAAAATAACAAATATAATCCTTATCTACCATGTAAACATTGTTCTGGCAGTGGGGTCATCTCCCTAACTAATAAGTTACTTAGCTGCTCAAGGAGGCGAGTCAGACATTTAAGTTGATTCCGCTGATTGCACTTAGAGAAAAGCCCCCCCCCCCCCCCCCCCCCCGGAGTTAGACCTACCAAGCTGGTATGATATCTGAACCTAAATGCACCATAGTATGTTCCATTTTTACAAGACTAGTGGGGAGTAACAATTTAGAGAAGTAATGGTGCAGGAGAATGGGTGATATGCAGGGGGAATAATGATGTACAGAAGAAAGGTGCAGGGACATATAGGATTGTGTATTTAACCCTGACAGCACATACCCAGGGGCGGATCCAGATATATTTTCTGACAGTCTTCCAAATGGTTTTTGTTGATCCATCCTCCACTTTTGACCATCTTTCGACAGAAAAAATTAGATACTCGTCAATGTAAACTTAAAATCTGACTGTCTTCCGGAAAACCCGCCGTCAATTCGCCCTTGTATACTGGTATATACTGGTACATGTACCTGTATGCTGCATATACATGTACATGTACAGTGTATATACTATATATACATACCAGCATGTATATACCTACCTTACCAAGTCCAGCAGTCACAATGTTCTGCCTGGCTCGTACGTAAGGATCTTTTGATCGTAAAGGGTTTTGTGGAAAGATGTCCTCTAGGTAGTCGTTACAGATTTGCGACTCATACACGATCTTGTCATCCTGCTCCAGTACAGGGACGAGGCCAAGAGGATTTCTTTTCAGGAACCAGTCAGGTTTATCTCTCAGATTGATGTTGACTACTTCATAGCTGAAACAAATGAAGGATTACAAAGGTTGCTTGTTACTTATTTTCAAAATTGAAATACCCCCCCCCCCCCCCCCCCCCGTATATGCCCATAGAATTTTAGAATTACATACAGAGCCACAATTATACCAAAAATTTAATGAACACCATTGAAAAAATGTGTTTTTTTTTTCTGTCAGTCATTCAGGCATAAACAATGGTGCATGCAAGAAGATAGCTCTCGGCTATCACTGAATTTTGCTGATGACAATATTAGCATTTTATTGTCAGAAGGTTAAAAGCATCCTAACCAGAAGTACTGGTAGCTGCAATAACATTCCTCCCCCTTTGTCAGCTGTTTAATGCTTTCCCTTAATTTTTTTTGCGAAGAAGCAACAAACTGGCTAAATATTTAGTATTAAAATTTGATAACAGTGGGGATGGGCCACATGCTGCTGCTGCTGCTGATGATGATGATAATGATGGACCATTACAGGGCAGTGGTAATGGCTAAGAGCACATTCCCAGAGATTTAGATCGGTCCAACTAGATCGACCTAACTCCCTAGGGGTTCACGCTAAATTGCTGTCAGCCGACTGAGCACGGAAGTTGATTACCCCCTTACAGCTTTTAGTAGGCGGGACAGACATTTAAGCCGGCCGATTAACAGTAATCTAGTGAGACTCCCCACAGGGATAGATCGATCTAAAACCTGTGGGAATGGGGTCTAAAACATGTGCTTGGAAGTGGGCATTGATCGGCAGGGGGCAGAATCTACAATGCAATGCAATATATATCAGTGTGGACACTGGGCCTGTTAATTAGGCCAAGCACTATCTTCTGATTAGATAACAGGTTTAAATCCCTAACACCACAGTAATGATGCTCCCCCCCTCCTCTACCCCTTCAGTCGGCTCCTAATGCATCCATGTAGTGAAACTGGGTACAAAGAGGCTTTAATTTTTGTTAAAGTATACTTCTATCAATATCACAGTTGGGTCTTGTGTGAATGCTGTCAATAAATGTAAATCTAAAACTTGGATGATATGGCCAAGGATAATGTATGTAAATTATTTACATAAACCATTTAGATTAAAACTGATATGACCCAGTAAAAAAACTAACCCATCAGCTGTGCATGCAGACCCCACTCCCATACACCCCATTTCCATAGATTAGATCGACCTACTTTAGATCGACCCAACTCCCTGGGGGTTCACGCTAAATAGCTGTCAGCCGGGCGGACACGAAAGTTAATTACCTCCTTACAGCTTGTAGTAGGCAGGACGGACATTTAAGTCGGATTACCTGAAAGCTAAGATCTAATAAACGGAATATTAGATCTTAGCTGAAAGTAATCTAGTGAGACTCCCCGCAGGGATAGATCGATCTAAAATCTATGGGAATAGAGCCATAGATACCATATATATTAATTGGTCTAGGTGGATTGACCCAACTGCCAACTGTGAGGGGGGGCTCTTGTTACGTGCAATCACCTGAACCAAATCACATACCAAAGTAACGATAAGTTTCTACAAACAAGCTTTTAAAGACCTGGGCCCCCGCAGATGTCGCAGATCCTGCGCCAGAAATGACTCAGCACAATGTGAGGAGATTCATATTAAAAGAGGATCAATTTATGACCCATGTCCCTGCTAGCTAGGCTGGGTCACAGGTGACAACAGTCAATGTCACAGCTATTCAGATACCAATATACTGCAGAGGCTCACAATGGACCATCAGGGAATGAGGTTACAGGTGTTAATTAAAGCCTCTATACCTGGTGTGTGCATGCACTCAGTCTCACCCCCACTGCCCTCCTACCCTCTGCCAGGGCGACTGATAAGATTTTTTTACAGATATTCACAGATATGTCTCCAGATAGATAGATGGTCATTTTTGACTTAGAACCAAAATGACCATCTATCTAGCTAGAGACATATCTGTGAATAACCGTAAAAAAAGTCTATCAGTCGCCCTGGTAGCGGGTACCACCCTCCCCTCCCTCTATCCTACCAGGGGTACTTCCCAGCTGAAGGTGTCTGGTGACACAAAGATCAAATAGTGGAGTGCAAATAGCACTGTTTGACTGCTGTTTGAAGGAGAGATTATCACAACTCTAAACAACTGAGGCAAGCACTGTTAAATTAAAAATAAAATCAAGTTTAATTAAATTAACCACTGGTGAACTTACGGTATATTTTTATGGGCCAGCACCAATATTGTTCTCTCAGCAAATGGGCAGAATCGCATGCTGTACAGCCTCAATCTCCCTGGTGTTGGTGGAGGGAAGTCTGATGCTGAAATTATACTCTTTAGCATTAAGTTGATACCTTGATTATCTATGACATGAAATAAAGAAAAAAAAAGAAAAACAACAAAAATAATCATTATGCATATAATATATTTTTAAATTTTTAATGATACCAGTACCAGTAGTTTCTAAGGTCCTTAACCTCAATATATTAAAACTATTTCAACTGCCCTAGCTGAAAACCAAACCTATATAGATATCAATAATTTAATTATACTGCTTCTTCATTAAGCTGACATATAAGCCATTCCCTGCATGAGCTGTCACTTATAAATCTAGGATATATTACTGCAATGAATAAAGATGGAAATTTCAGTATAAGCTCTCAGAATGGCTATCACTGGATCTGCAAATGAAATATCTGTTTCAAATAATGGACAAATGGGTTCTTTGCAGTGTGTGTGTGTGTGTGTGTGTGTGTGTGTGTGTGTGTGTGTGTGCGAATGCTAATAATAATAATAATTATAATGGCAATAAACATGAATTTGAACCCTCCTTGATAATCTGTATCTATCATATCTGTTGCTTAGTGATCTGAATATGACAAGTGAAAGAGTGTCTATTGCAATGACTCAGCATTTTCTTCATACAGTTACCACAGCTGACTATGTACATGTATATTATACTAAAGAATGTGCTGGTAAAGGCAGGTCTAACTCCTGCTCCCTCCAAATAAAAATGAAATTATATACTCAATAGTGAGGCCAAAATAATTACTTGAAGTTCAAAACACAATTCTGGGAGGCAGTCGGCTTAGAAGTGAGAAGGTTTAATTTAAATGACTTTGCCTCAGTTTTTGTTTTTCCTGTGGAGCCGACCTCTTCTTAGGCAATTGAACGCAACATTAAAATCATTCTCATGCCGCCCCCTAAAGTCTTTTACTACGTACCCCACTATGGTTATTTCTTTTACATTATTTTGATATGTTATGAAAATAAACTGTGCTGAACGAACTCAAAATTTGCTGGTTTTCAATTAATCACTATTCCGATGTAGGCCTAGGCCTACAATTTTGGCATGACATGCACAATAATCAATATACTGGGTACAATACATGTACATGTACCGGTGTATGTGTATTAGGAGCACCTACAGCTCACGTAGAATACACCTACCTTTAACAAGATGCCTGGTTTCATTCAAAACTGGCATTTTCAAATTCTCAGGGTCTGCAATTTTATCCTGCGAGCACGAGCTTATTTGCCGGAACTGTGCGTGTTTTGTTTTGAGCTACGAGAACACGCGACCGCTGCTGTAGGTAATCTGAGGGTCCCATTGGGGGTGGGGGGTAGAGATTACAGATCACGGAAAATAAAATAATAATTAAATCACAGATAACAGAAAATAAACTTTATTCATATCCCATTGAAAATGTAGGGAATTCGAGTTACATTACGAATTCACGAGTCATGGGATTGGGGTTATATATTCATTTATCACATCATCATCATCATCATCCGAATTTATTTTATCCTCAACAGAGGGTGGGGCCAGTCTGACGCACAGTCTTCCTTCGAATATACTACTTGTCATAATGGGTCATAATACTGTGTGGCGTTTTTTTTTTTTTTTTACAGTGAGGCTGCCCTGCCGATCTCCAACTCTGACATTCACGGTAGACTGTGACACCGCCGTTACCCCACCGGGGCATTGTGCCTTGCCGTTGTCTTCTGTGCGAAGATATCCTCCGCCATGCCACGTGATGCTAGCACCAGAGCTGCGGTATGCTGCAAGACTGCTGCTGGCGTCTACTGCCACCCAGGTTGTGGCAGATCGTAACCCAGAGAGGGGCCAGTAACCCAGGATGGGGGGCTAACGGGTAGTAACCCTTGCCCAAGGGGTACCCGGAGGTTCTGAAGGCACAAAGGAGGACACCTCACATCCCCTACCATCTTGCTGGTGTTGCCCCAGAGGATGCAGTTTAAAGTCATGTACCCAGGACATATCAAGATAAATAATATGAACGTTTCACGCATCTCTGGAAATAAGAAGAGGTTTCACGTGCAACGAAAATACCCAGTGGGACCCTCGTATCTGGCATACATGTGACCTTGATTGGTAAGTACTCTAGTGTCGTAATATTAGATACAATGTACAATGCAGCAGTGATTATTGTCATTTATAGGGTTAGATGGTTTTGAATGCTTTAACCGATTTCATATGGATTTTTGTGTTGTGGTAGGCTTGTATGGCAGTCTAAGGTCGTTTTGTGTGTTTTTGTGTAAGTACCTAGTTAATTCATCTTATGACGATTTACGACTCCCGATTACTAACCAATCAAGGTGGATCGAATCATCTGGCTAAATGAATGATTGTCTTCCATAAATCTGCGCGCGCCACAGGTCGAACAAACTGAATCAGGTCATCCAAAAAATGGAGATGAGGAAGTTAAAGATAATGGAAAATGTCTATGTCGCAGTTTTTAGTTTTTATTTTAGTTTTACATAATAAGACCTTGTAATAATAATAATAATAATAATAATAATAATAATAATAATAATAATAATGAAGCCAAAACACTCACTCCGGTAGTCCTCAATCCTCGGGGGTGGGGATAGGAACAGCCACGGATGATTAAGTGGGTATCATCGCGCATTTACTAAAATGTTACGACAAAACTATTTCTTTTTTTTTTAAATTTCATTTTTAATATCAGATTAGTTTTGGATTGGCCTACAATTAATCGGACTTGATCAAGAGGCATAATTATTAAGGAATCAAAAGGGGAAAAAAAGTTTCACAAATATTCTGATCACTGGATAGGGCATTAACATGAAATTATGTATATACACGTATAGTTGATTAGATGACGCATTTTGTCCCAGTTTGGCCTTTTATTTTTAAATCACAGGTGTAATATTTTGTTAGAATATTCAATCATTAAAGCAAGTTAGAATCATTATAGCAGTTAGAATATTCAATCATTAAAGCAAGATTGTATCGCATTTTCTCAACTGCTTTAAATAGGGTACATCCTTAGGGATTTAATAATGGAAAATGATGAAATGCCGTGGAAATTTAATTTTTTTTCTATATAATGCAAAAATAGCCTACTCACTGTGTGGCGTTTGATTTGAACTTACTACTCTTTTCAACTGTGGTCGATTACTTGTAATTCCTGCACTTTCGTCCTGGTACGGCCATGGCAGATATAAATGTCACATGGTGCAGTGAAAGTGGGGATTGTTTATTTCCAACATCTCACTACTGGTAGATGTATATTTTATTGTAAAACTAGGCTTAAACTAACAAACCTCTCTAAGTGTCTTGTCGTTGAAGGATGTTGACTATCATTGACTACAACTCCCTTTCTTCAGATGAACTCAGAATTATTTCACCGGACACACCAACCATAATCCTAAACTCTTGACAAAGCCAATATATCGTCTTCTTCTACTTTTCCCCTTTGATTTTCCCTGTGAGCGCTAATCACTCCAACTCCCCTTTCCTCATCACGTGTCCGAAAAACTCTTACTGACTCTTTCTTATTGTTTTAAGCAGACTTCTTTTGCTTCCACCTCTTTCTAGGAATCCTTTGTTGCTGATATGTTCTCTCTACGACATTCTAAGCATCCTTCTCATGAACCACGCTTTTACAGCCTGCGATCTTTCTGCCAATGTGTTGGAAATATTCCAGCACTCGCTGCCATAGGTCAGCACAGAATGAATGTAACATCGTCGAAATCTGATTTTATTTCTATTTTCATCTTGTATGGCACAAGTTGGAATAACTTATCAATTTAGCGAATTCTAAATTTATAATTCTACAGAAATAGGGACATTTTTTGCTCTGTTTAATAATTACATGAAAACTTATGTGGCGAAGGGAGTCACCGGGATGTTTTCTCATGGGAATTTAAAAATTAATTATGCGATAAGGCTAATATATTATAGTCAGGCCCGTAGCCAGGGGGGGNATTCTATAATATATGGATAAAAGTTATCAAAATGGCACTTGATCTCTTGGCAATGTAGAAGAAAAAAAATCATAAATATGTTATTAAAATATAACAAATAGATATTAAAACTTTCTGCAACAAACAGCTTACAGATTTCACAAACCTGTTGGTAAAAAAAGGTCATTGGGAAAATTATTTCACGAACATGTTACTTTTCTTATTTTAGAATTCAAAGTAAACCTGTGTTGGTTAAAAAAAAACAAAAACACTTGGGTAAAGGCTCCAGAAAAAAATGAAGCCTTAACTATAATGTGTACTATTATATAGTACATGCACTATATACTATGGCTATATCTTAATGATTCCAGTGTTCAGATATGTACTACAACTCAAGATACACATTTCATAATGTAAAGACCCTCTAACATTCTTAAGAGATTTGAATGTGTCCTTATGAAGATATACAATTGCTCCTACAACCAATTAAGATTACTCTTATTATTACAATGAAGATTTTCATGGATTATATTAAGACCATACAAACTGTATGTGTTTAAGACCAATTTACGTTATTTTTTTAAGGAAAAAAACATAAGATAAAAAATACACTAACATTCAAATATATCTGGATTGTTCATAGTTTCAGATACTTACATAAATTAATGAATTAATTTAACAGTGATACTGGTGCCTTTATTAAATTGTTTCAATTTTGACTTATTTAATTGTACCTATATCTACGAGAAACCTTCCAAATCCTTTAAATACTGTAAGCTACCGTATGTGGTTTCTGATTAAACTGTCCCCATTCTCATTAAACTGGCCCCAAATGCTACTGTTTCACTCCTGAATTTCTTTATAATAAAAATAAAAACACTGTCTTCTCAAATTTCTATCTCATCATAGCGTGGTGTTCCTTCCTTGTAAGATTTTGCAAACTCAAGGAGGGCCCACCCTGGAATTGCTGTGGCTTTTACAGCTGGCACCTCCCACATTCTCGCTATCCATGCATTGAGCTTTGGGAATCTTTCTTGGCTGATTTCGTAGCCAGTGAATTCCTTGTAGGCGAGCATCCTTTCCACCCAGGGCCACATGTGGAAGTCAAGTAGACCTACTTCATCTCCTGATAAATAAATAAATAAATAAATAAATATTAGGAAAAGCAACCAATTTAAAGTGAAGCAATGTACTTTTAATATGGTTGAACATTCCGGGTACTACTAGTACAACTTTACATGACATGCCCCCTTATTGGGTTTCTCCAAATTAATTAAATTAATTTATCAACTTAAATTCATCAATGAATTAACAAATGTGCCTGTGTGACAGTGTATGTACAAAATGCTTTCCTGTAAATTTCAGATTGTTAAAAAACTTCATTCATTTTGAACACACCAACATGCAATACCAGAATGTGGTATGTTTTCCACCTTGTTTTTTATTTGGTTTATTACTCATTCATTTTACTTGTGATAGGAAGAATGCTAGATTCAACAAACACTGGGGTGGTATTCTCAAAGCTATGGCATATGAACTTTCATTGAATCCCGTGGAATTAAAAAAATCGGTATTCTTTAAGCTATCAAATAATTTTCTATCAAAGTTGGGAATGATTTTTTTTGCAATCACATGATACGGCCAACCCAATACCTGAGAAGAATGGCTTCTCCAGTAGATTTTCATATGTATCCAGGTATGTATTCATTTCTTCTTTCGCCTCTGGTGTTGGCTCTCTGGCTAGCTTGTAAGAATGGCCTATGAACTGTAGAAGTTTAATGCACACCATGAGTGTCAGATACATGTATTCACATGGCAAATGTTTAATTTTCCTAGAGATTTCAAAGGTATGCAATACCCAAAATCATTTTGAAAATTATGTGAAATGTAAAAAACATTTTGTCGCCCCTTATTAACTCATTCATACAAGATTCTGACTACTTCAGAGATAAAATAACAAATATAATCCTTATCTACCATGTAAACATTGTTCTGGCAGTGGGGTCATCTCCCTAACTAATAAGTTATTTAGCTGCTCGAGGAGGCGAGTCAGACATTTAAGTTGATTCCGCTGATTGCACTTAGAGAAAAGCCCCCCCCCCCCCTCCAGAGTTAGACCAACCAAGTTGGTATGATATCTGAACCTAAATGCACCACAGTATGTTCCATTTTTACAAGACTAGTGGGGAGTAACAATTTAGAGTAGTAATGGTGCAGGAGAATGGGTGATATGCAGGGGGAATAATGATGTACAGAAGAAAGGTGCAGGGACGTATATATAGGATTGTGTATTTAACCCTGACAGCACATACCCAGGGGCCGATCCAGATATATTTTCTGACAGTCTTCCAAATGATTTTTGTTGATCCATCCTCCACTTTTGACCATCTTTCGACAAAAAAAATTAGATACTCGTCAATGTAAACTTAAAATCTGACTGTCTTCCGGAAAACCCAGAAGACGGCCTCAATTCGCCCTTGTATACTGGTATATACTGGTACATGTACCTGTATGCTACATATACATGTACAGTGTATATACTATATATACATGCATACCAGTATGTATATACCTACCTTACCAAGTCCAGCAGTCACAATGTTCTGCCTGGCTCGTACATAAGGATCTTTTGATCGTAAAGGGTTTTGTGGAAAGATGTCCTCTAGGTAGTCGTTACAGATTTGTGACTCATACACGATCTTGTCATCCTGCTCCAGTACAGGGACGAGGCCAAGAGGATTTCTTTTCAGGAACCAGTCAGGTTTATCTTTCAGATTGATGTTGACTACTTCATAGCTGAAACAAATGAAGGATTACAAAGGTTGCTTGTTACTTATTTTCAAAATTGAAATACCCCCCCCCCCATATATGTCCATAGAATTTTAGAATTACATACAGAGCCACAATTATACCCAAAAAATAATGAACACCATTGAAAAAATGTGTTTTTTTTCTGTCAGTCATTCAGGCATAAACAATGGTGCATGCAAGAAGATGGCTCTCGGCTATCACTGAATTTTGCTGATGACAATATTAGCATTTTATTGTCAGAAGGTTAAAAGCATCCTAACCAGCAGTACTGGTAGCTGCAATAACATTCCTCCCCCTTTGTCAGCTGTTTAATGCTTTCCCTTAATTTTTTTGCGAAGAAGCAACAAACTGGCTAAATATTTAGTATTAAAATTTGATAACAGTGGGGATGGGCCACATGCCGCTGCAGCTGCTGATGATGATGATGATGGACCATTACAGCGCATTCCCAGAGATTTAGATCGGTCCAACTAGATCGACCTAACTCCCTAGGGTTTCACGCTAAATTGCTGTCAGCCGACTGAGCACGGAAGTTAATTACCCCCTTACAGCTTTTAAAAGGCGGGACAGACATTTAAGCCGGCCGATTAACAGTAATCTAGTGAGACTCCCCACAGGGATAGATCGATCTAAAACCTGTGCGAATGGGGTCTAAAACGTGCTTGGAAGTGGGCATTGATCGACAGGGGTCAGGATCTGCAATGCAATATATATCAGTGTGTACACTGGGCCTGTTAATTAGGCCAAGCACTATCTTCTGATTAGATAACAGCTTTTAATCCCTAACACCACAGTAATGATGCTCCCTCTACCCCTTCAGTCGGCTCCTTATGCATCCATGTAGTGAAACTGGGTACAAAGAGGCTATAATTTTTGTTTAAGTATACTTCTATCATCACAGTTGGGTCTTGTGTGAATGCTGTCAATAAATGTAAATCTAAAACTTGGATGATATGGCCAAGGATAATGTATGTAAATTATTTACATAAGCCATTTAGATTAAAACTGATATGACCCAGTAAAAAAACTAACCCATCAGCTGTGCATGCAGACCCCACTCCCATACACCCCATTTCCATAGATTAGATCGACCTACTTTAGATCGACCCAACTCCCTGGGGGTTCACGCTAAATAGCTGTCAGCCGGGCGGACACGAAAGTTAATTATCTCCTTACAGCTTGTAGTAGGCGGGACGGACATTTAAGTCGGATTATCTGAAAGTAATCTAGTGAGACTCCCCGCGGGGATAGATCGATCTAAAATCTATGGGAATAGAGCCATAGATACCATATATATTAATTGGTCTAGGTGGATTGACCCAACTGCCAACTGTGAAGGGGGGGGGCTCTTGTTACGTGCAATCACCTGAACCAAATCACATACCAAAGTAACGATAAGTTTCTACAAACAAGCTTTTAAAGACCTGGGCCCCCGCAGATGTCGCAGATCCTGCGCCAGAAATGACTCAGCACAATGTGAGGAGATTCATATTAAAAGAGGATCAATTTATGACCCATGTCCCTGCTAGCTAGGCTGGGTCACAGGTGACAACAGTCAATGTCACAGCTATTCAGATACCAATATACTGCAGAGGCTCACAATGGACCATCAGGGAAAGAGGTTACAGGTGTTAATTAAAGCCTCTATACCTTGCGTGTACATGCACTCAGTCTCACCCCCACTGCCCTCCTACCCTCTACCAGGGCAACTGATAAGATTTTTTTACAGATATTCACAGATATGTCTCTAGATAGATAGATGGTCATTTTTGACTTAGAACCAAAATGACCATCTATCTATCTAGAGACATATCTGTGAATAACCGTAAAAAATCTTTCAGTCGCCCTGGTAGCGGGTACCACCCTCCCCTCCCTCTATCCTACCAGGGGTACTTCCCAGCTGAAGGTGTCTGGTGAGACAAAGATCAAATAGTGGAGTGCAAATAGCACTGTTTGACTGCTGTTTGAAGGAGGGATTATCACAACTCTAAACAACTGAGGCAAGCACTGTTAAATTAAAAATAAAATCAAGTTTAATTAAATTAACCACTGGTGAACTTACGGTATATTTTTATGGGCCAGCACCAATATTGTTCTCTCAGCAAAGGGGCAGAATCGCATGCTGTACAGCCTCAATCGCCCCGGTGTTGGTGGAGGGAAGTCTGATGCTGAAATTATACTCTTTAGCATTAAGTTGATACCTTGATTATTTATGACATGAAATAAAGAAAAAAACAACAAAAATAATCATAATGCATATAATATATTTTTTAATGTTTAATGATACCAGTACCAGTAGTTTCTAAGGTCCTAAACCTCAATATATTAAAACTATTTCAACTGCCCTAGCTGAAAACCAAACCTATATAGATATCAATAATTTAATTATACTGCTTCTTCATTAAGCTGACATATAAGCCATCCCCTGCATGAGCTGTCACTTATAAATCTAGGATATATATTACTGCAATGAATAAAGATGGAAATTTCAGTATAAGCTCTCAGAATGGCTATCACTGGATCTGCAAATGAAATCTGTTTCAAATAATGGACAAATGGGTTCTTTACAGTGTGTGTGTGTGTGTGTGTGTGTGTGTGTGTGTGTGTGTGTGTGTGTGCAAATGCTAATAATAATAATAATAATTATAATGGCAATAAACATGAATTTGAACCCTCCTTGATAATCTGTATCTATCATATCTGTTGCTTAGTGATCTGAAAATGACAAGTGAAAGAGTGTCTATTTAGTCATGACTCAGCATTTTCTTCATACAGTTACCACAGCTGACTATATACATGTATATTATACTAAAGAATGTGCTGGTAAAGACAGGTCCAACGCCTGCTCCCTCCAAATAAAAATGAAATTATACTCATTAGTGAGGCCAAAATAATTACTTGAAGTTCAAAACACAATTCTGGGAGGCAGTCGGCTTAGAAGTGAGAAGGTTTAATGACTTTGCCTCAGTTTTTGTTTTCCCTGTGGAGAGCGACCTCTTGTTTGGCAAACGCAACAGTCAACATTAAAATCATTCTCATGCCGCCCCCCTAAAGTCTTTTACTACGTACCCCACTATGGTTATTTCTTTTACATTATTTTGGTATGTTATGAAAATAAACTGTGCTGAACGAACTCAAAATTTGCTGTTTTTCAATTAATCACTCTACAATTTTGGCATGACATGCACAATAATCAATATACTGGGTACAATACATGTACCCTGTACATGTAACGGTGTATGTGTATTAGGAGCACCTACAGCTCACGTAGAATACACCTACCTTTAACAAGATGCCTGGTTTCATTCAAAACTGGCATTTTCAAATTCTCAGGGTCTGCAATTTTATCCTGCGAGCACGAGCTTATTTGCCGGAACTGTGCGTGTTTTGATTTGAGCAACGTGAATACGCGACCGCTGCTGTAGTGTAAGGTAATCTGAGGGTCCCATTGGGGGTGGGGGGTAGAGATTACAGATCACGGAAAATAAAATAATCAAATCACAGATCACAGAAAATAAACTTTATTCATATCCCGTTGAAAATGTAGGGAATTCGAGTTACATCACGAATTCACGAGTCATGGAATTGGGGTTATATATTCATTTATCACATCATCATCATCATCATCATCCGAATTTATTTTATCCTCAACAGAGGGTGGGGCCAGTCTGACGCACAGTTTCCTTCGAATACTACTTGTCATAATACTGGTTGGCGTTTTTTTTTTTTACAGTGAGGCTGCCCTGCCGATCTCCAACTCTGACATTCACGGTAGACTGTGACACCGCCGTTACCCCACCGGGGCATTGTGCCTTGCCGTTGTCTTCTGTGCGAAGATATCCTCCGCCATGCCACGTGATGCTAGCACCAGAGCTGCGGTATGCTGCAAGACTGCTGCTGGCGTCTACTGCCACCCAGGTTGTGGCAGATCGTAACCCAGAGAGGGGCCAGTAACCCAGGATGGGGGGCTAACGGGTAGTAACCCTTGCCCAAGGGGTACCCGGAGGTTCTGAAGGCACAAAGGAGGACACCTCACATCCCCTACCATCTTGCTGGTGTTGCCCCAGAGGATGCAGTTTAAAGTCATGTACCCAGGACATATCAAGATAAATAATATGAACGTTTCACGCATCTCTGGAAATAAGAAGTGGTTTCACGTGCAACGAAAATACCCAGTGGGACCCTCGTATCTGGCATACATGTGACCTTGATTGGTAAGTACTCTAGTGTCGTAATATTAGATACAATGTACAATACAGCAGTGATTATTGTCATTTATAGGGTTAGATGGTTTTGAATGCTTTAACCGATTTCATATGGATTTTTGTGTTGTGGTAGGCTAGTATGGCAGTCTAAGGTCGTTTTGTGTGTTTTTGTGTAAGTACTCAGTTAATTCATCTTATGACGATTTACGACTCCCGATTACTAACCAATCAAGGTGGATCGAAGTCATCTGCCTAAATGAATGATTGTCTCATACACAACACCCTGACCCCAAAACCTTCCATAAATCTGCGCGCGCCACAGGTCGAACAAACTGAATCAGGTCATCCAAAAAATGGAGATGAGGAAGTTAAAGATAATGGAAAATGTCTATGTCGCAGTTTTTAGTTTTTATTTTAGTTTTACATGGTAAGACCTTGTAATAATAATAATAATAATAATAATAATAATGAAGCCAAAACACTCACTCCGGTAGTCCTCAATCCTCGGGGGTGGGGATAGGAACAGCCACGGATGATTAAGTGGGTATCATCGCGCATTTACTAAAATGTTACGACAAAACTATTTCTTTTTTTTTTAAATTTCATTTTTAATATCAGATTAGTTTTGGATTGGCCTACAATTAATCGGACTTGATCAAGAGGCATAATTATTTAGGAATCAAAACGGGGAAAAAAGTTTCACAAATATTCTGATCACTGGATAGGGCATTAACATGAAATTATGTATATACACGTATAGTTGATTAGATTTTCTCTACTTCTATGATTAGATGACGCATTTTGTCCCAGTTTGGCCTTTTATTTTTAAATCACAGGTGTAATATTTTGTTAGAATATTCAATCATTAAAGCAAGTTAGAATCATTATAGCAGTTAGAATATTCAATCATTAAAGCAAGATTGTATCGCATTTTCTCAACAGCTTTAAATAGGGTACATCCTTAGGGATTTAATAATGGAAAATGATGAAATGCCGTGGAAATTTAATTTTTTTTCTATATAATGCAAAAATACTCACTGTGTGGCGTTTGATTTGAACTTACTACTCTTTTCAATTGTGGTCGATTACTTGTAATTCCTGCACTTTCGTCCTGGTACGGCCATGGCAGATATAAATGTCACATGGTGCAGTGAAAGTGGGGATTGTTTATTTCCAACATCTCACTACTGGTAGATGTATATTTTATTGTAAAACTAGGCTTAAACTAACAAACCTCTCTAAGTGTCTTGTCGTTGAAGGATGTTGACTATCATTGACTACAACTCCCTTTCTTCAGATGAACTCAGAATTATTTCACCGGACACACCAACCATAATCCTAAACTCTTGACAAAGCCAATATATCGTCTTCTTCTACTTTTCCCCTTTGATTTTCCCTTTGAGCGCTAATCACTCCAATCCCCCTTTCCTCATCACATGTCCGAAAAACTCTTACTGACTCTTTCTTATTGTTCTAAGCAGACTTCTTTTGCTTCCACCTCTTTCTAGGAATCCTTTGTTGCTGATATGTTCTCTCTACGACATTCTAAGCATCCTTCTCATGAACCACGCTTTTACAGCCTGCGATCTTTCTGCCAATGTGTTGGAAATATTCCAGCACTCGCTGCCATAGGTCAGCAAAGAATGAATGTAACATCTTCGAAATCTGATTTTATTTCGATTTTCATCTTGTATGGCACAGGTTGGAATAACTTATCAATTTAGCGAATTCTAAATTTATAATTCTACAGAAATAGGGACATTTTTTGCTCTGTTTAATAATTACATGAAAACTTATGTGGCGAAGGGAGTCACCGGGATGTTTTCTCATGGGAAATTAAAAATTAATTATGCGATAAGGCTAATATATTATAGTCAGGCCCGTAGCCAGGGGGGATTCGGGGGGTTCGAAAGAACCGCCCCTTTTGCTGGGAAAAGGTCCACTCTGGGTAAAATTTGACCTAGGTACATGAAGTTTTTATGGGAAAAGGTCCACTTTTTCAGAAAAAGAACCCCCTTTTTGAAATTGCTGGCTACGGGCCTGTATAGTGACTATTTCCTTTCTGAATAACTACTATAAAGGGGGCCAGACCTCAAGGTTTATTTACTACATCTAGTAGCTGTGCTAGACATCACTTGCAGCGTTGTTAAACACTGTAGGTCGTAATGTTTTGTCGCATTGGCGGTGTATGTACCGTGTGTTACATATGTTTCTCCACTAAATATCTATATGAGGAAAGCAATGGAATGCTTTACAATGATCCTTCGCCCAAGGATGGTTACAAAACACCACGAGGTGGGCGGAGTGTGGAGATTTGGTCTCCCATTGTTACCAGGTGCCATTACCTTCAGATTATCGATTTTAAGTTTTTCACATTGATCAACATCAATTTTTAATAGAGGATACATTATTGAAAAAAGAATGAGTGTAATAGAACGACAACATTTTATCCCCAAATTTGCGCGCTCATCCATTTTTTTTGTCAGTGGATGCCACGTGCAATTGCACATAAAACGGCACTTTCCACAATATGTATATAGGTCTTGTGCATGGCAAAGACTGCTAAAACTGAATAGCCGCACGTAATGTAGATTCGTGTACTGTAGGTAAATTCGACTCTGTGAAATGGTCTGAGGGCGTTGCATGAATGACTGGTCCCAGTTACATGGAAATGCATTTGACCACTGTGTGTGTAAAACAGCGTCAAGAAATTTCGTGCTAAGCATTAGGACTGAAAATTTGAGGGCAACGACATGTAAGATTCTTTGCTAAACGCTAACTAAGATTGTAAGTAAGCTCAACTGAGGCAAATTAAATGTTTGATTCCAGTTCTTCAGTGAACCGGAACTCTGCACTGCTCCCACGATTCAGACTTAAAAATGCCACGACATAGCATGGACTCATTAAAATGTATGGCGTGCCAATAACAATAAAACATAACGGTACGACTTATTTCCGATAACCGTTGCTTTCAACAGGAATGTAACATATTGCGAGTTTGCTTTTTATAACGTTTTTATTACATTTACCTTAGAGCGAGAATGACACAGGCTGGTCTCCGAACAATTAGTTAACAATCACATAGATATGTTTTTAATGCTTGGTACACGATTTCAGACGGACAGGTACATGTCATATCCTTTTACCTGAAAGGGACATCAAAGGATTAGAATGGACGCTGTACAATTAATGAGGACTCTCATCCACTGGATCAGCATTAGAACAGATGTATTCTTCCCTCAACAAACTCATACAATGCAATCAGAAATTAAGGAACTTAAAAATTACATGTCACTGATTATTGTGATGTGAAGAAGAATAAATAGGTACTCCTGGGGAGTTGTAAGCGAATGTGTGTGTGTATGTGTGCGTGTGTGTATGTGTGCACGTGTGTGTATGTTTGGTGTGTGTATGTGTGTATGTGCGTATGCGTGTGTGTGTGTGTGTGTGTGGCGGTGGGGGTGCACTGCAGAGAGAGTCCAATCGACGAACAAACGTTTGTTTGGGAATATTCACCATAGATATTGTGTGGAATCCGAACAACAGTATTTTATTCATCAGCAGTGGGCAAAACATTTAATGACGACTGCGGTAACTTGCGTTTAATTGCTGTTCATTGCATAACACAATATTGTCTTGCGGGTTAAACAAGATGACGCCGACGCATAACGACAAAGCGTCTACATTTTTCACCTACTTTTTTAATGGTTAGTTATTCATTCCTTGCCTATCCTCGTTTATTCAAGGGAAGATCAGTGTCCCTTTTAAAACAAATTTGAAGTATTACTTATAAAAGATATTTTTAACAAAACGTAGCTTTTACAGGGTAATGGATCCCCGATATTGTTTATATTTTTTTTATCTTAGTACATATATTGGCTAAATGGATTTTTATCTTATCTCATCGTATCTTATGTTAATCTACATACGGTATGCTACAAACACAAACACACACAAACACACAGAATTTTCGAATTTTGAATTTTTTGTATGAGACTAGAATTTTTTTTAAACCTTTCTCGAGATTTGATAGTGGTGCTGATTTTAAACATGCCTTTCACCAAAGACATACAGAACTCAAAGTGTATGGAGTGTACCTGTATTTCTGTGAATGGTTTGGGGCATGCTTTACCTTGATCATTCATGGAGAAGTGGGATTATCGGGAAGATTAAGTTACTGCTGTATACAGGTGTAACGCCCACTGTCATTT